CCTGGAGGCCCTCCCCGCGATGCTGTGGCTGCTGCTGCTGCAGGTCTCTTCTCTGCCAGTCTGGCTGGGACACAGTGAGGTGGTGAGATCCTTGGAAACTTCATGTCCTCAGTTCTTCTACCGGGGCATGGCCCCGAATGAAGCCCTGGAGCCACCCAACCCAGCCCAGATCTGCCAGCGCTACAAGAACCAGTATTACTTTGCCACTCTGTACGACAGGAACATGCGTATTCCTGTGTACTCTGCCTACATCTACGACCCTGGCCATGGCAAGAGACCCAGGACGTGGCTGGTTAAACTTCATGTCCTCAGTTCTTCTACCGGGGCATGGCCCCGAATGAAGCCCTGGAGCCACCCAACCCAGCCCAGATCTGCCAGCGCTACAAGAACCAGTATTACTTTGCCACTCTGTACGACAGGAACATGCGTATTCCTGTGTACTCTGCCTACATCTACGACCCTGGCCATGGCAAGAGACCCAGGACGTGGCTGGTTGAGCCCCAGGTGAGTGTCCTCTCCTACAGCTCATCACCCTCCAGTCATTACAGAACTGCAGCATTTAACCCAGCAGTTCTGTTTCCTCCCCTCTTTACACATGCAAATCCCAGTGCATGGGATTCACCTCAAACAACCTCACCTTCACCACATGATTCCTTTGGTGCACGAGACAGCAGCAGGAGGATGAGGTGAGTCATATCCCAAAGGAGCCCAGTTTTCTGAACTGACCTGATAGGAAAATCAAGGCAAATTTCCTGTGGGAAAACCTGTTCCATCACTCCCATCCCCAATACTAACACCTTTTCCTCTTCTTCTCTTGTCAAGCTGATGGGCCCAACCTATCCCAAAACTATGGAAAAAGAGTGGACCCTCTTAAATCATTACAAAGTCAGCTTCGAGCAGCTGAGTGAGAGCCAGGCTATCCTCCAAGACTACAAGAACCTGACAGGCCTGAACCGAGGCCACTTGAACCCCAACGGCCACCACCACGACTACAGCAGCAGGATTGCCACCTTCACCCTCACCAACATAGTGCCCCAGCACGACAAGCTCAATGGAGGAGCCTGGAATAACTACGAGCAACAGACAATGATCAGGAACACCAAGGGCTGTAACACCACCTACGTCGTGGTGGGCGCAGTGCCTGGCAACAACTACATCGCGGGCGGGAGGGTTAATAAGCCAGGCTACCTCTGGGCCAGTGCCTGCTGCGAGGTGGACAGCTACCACAGGAAGGCTTGGGGGGTCATTGCTGAGAACGACAAGAACCAGGTGGAGCTCCTGACACTGGGGGAGCTGGAGGACACGCTGACCCAGCTCTACGGGAGAGGTCAGGTTTCTCTGTTCCACAGCGACTGTCCCCGGGAATAAGCCTCAGCCCCTGGGTGTAAAAGGCTCAGGAATTTCACCATGTGTCATAGAATCACAGAATGGGTTGTGTTGGAAGGCACCTCAGTGATCATCTCTCTAGTTTCAGCCTCCCTGCCATGGGCAGGGACACCTTCCTCTAGACCAGGTGGCTCCAAGCCCCATCCAGCCTGGCCTGGAACACTTCCAGCAATGGGGCACCACCCAGGACCCCCAAACCTCTCCAACCCATCTCCAGAAAGGTCCAACAGAATGAATTTTGCATGATAACTAATAAGAAGCAGGAAACCTGTCTTCAGGGCAGGAAAAATCTGTCTATAAAGAGGTATCCCCATCAAGCCAGGGCAGTGCCCCTGGGACATTAGCTGAATCCATACTGGGACCAGAACAGGTGATCTCTTTCTCCTTCCTCCCTGTTCATCTTACCCCTTTACCCAAAACCCGAAGTGCTTACATAGTACGTAACAGGCCAATTTCCAAGTGTGGCATTTACAATAAAACGGAGTTTTTGCAGACCCTCTGACTTCTGTTGCTCCTTTTGACCACGAACACCTACAAACCCTGGGTCAACTTCCACCAGCCCAGGCTGATCCAAGCCGCATCCAACCTGGCCTGGAACACTCCCAGGGATGAAGCAGCCACAGCTGCTCTGGGCACCCTGTGCCAGTCTCTCAACATCCTCATGGGGAAGAACTTCATACTCATATCTAATCCAACGCTGCCTTCTGTCAGTTTGAAGCCATTCTCACTCCATGCCCTTGGCCAATCTTCCTCTCCAGCTCTCTTGTAGCACCTTCAGGTACTGCAAGAGGCTCTGAGGTCTCCCCAGAGCCTTGTGATACCCAGGCTGTACATCTGGGCGTGCTCAGAGACAGGCTGGTGGCTCTGATGCCACCAGAGATGGTCTGCAGGGAACACAAAGGTGTAGGAGCTGCTGCAGCAGTGGCTGCAGCCGACGGGAAATGAGGAAATGGACAGGGAAGTCACCAGACCTGGTTATCTGCTCCTGACATGTGATGCTGCAAGTCAGCAAATTTGGGAGAAATCTTGAGGAAATTGCAAATAGCAACTGTCAGCACATTTCTGGGCAGACATGAATCTCCCTGGAATAAAAATAGAAAACTTCTCTTTTCTGTGAAATTCCCTGTTGACTGGAAGGGACAGAGTTACCACCAGGTATATATTGCAGTGCAGCTCCTGAGGGATCAGCCAACCCTTTCTCCAGGAAGGAGAGGGAAGG